GAAGAGTTTGTTCTCATTTTCCCATCCCCACACTGCCGTTGACAGCTCAGCACTTGAGCTGCAGTGATGGACAGGACTGTGCCACAATTTCCTTTCAACTTTGCTTATACAAGACTCAGATTATTTGGACAGATAAATATCAGATTGAAATAATTTACTGCTGTGCTTCTCACTGTATGGTATAAGTTCACTTTTATTGCAGCTTACGCTACTGAAATGAACATTTAGTTTTATTTTAATTTTCTGCACACTTACAGAAGAGAATCATTGTTGCAGTTATGATTTAATAAACAACAACTTGGACCTGGACCAGGTTCATAGACAACTACCAGGAGCAACAGCAGGACAGCCATAAGAACTTCTATTTTCAGTCTTAGAAAAAAGGTTAATACAGCAGGACATCAAACAACATATTCCTTGTTTCTGGTTTTCTCATAATGAAATAGCCTAACTCCAGATTTGCATCTGGGGTCATAGAGTTGCAGCTTTTTCTACCTGGCATCTCACACCTGGCTCCTGTTAGGAGGGAACATCACAGCCCATTTGCTTTTCTTTCCAACAGTATTTCAGAGGAGCAAGCCACCTACCGAAAGAATGTTTTACTAATGCAAAGGAAACTGTAGTGGGTTGACCCTGGCCAGATGCCAGGTACCCCCTAAAGCCACTTTCTCATTCCTCTCTGCAACTGGACAGAGGAGAGGAAAAAAAACAGCGAAGGAATCATGAGTTAACAGCTGGGAGAGGTCAGTTACTGATTACCTTCACAGACAATACAGACTCAAAGTAGAGATTTACTTAAAGTTGTTACTAACAGGATCAGAGCAAAAGTGTGAGAAGTAAAACAATCTTAAAAACACCTTCTCCCCACCCCTCCTTCCTTCCATGTTCACCCTCCTTCCCCCCCAGCGGTGCAGGGGGACAGGAAATGGGGGTTATGGTCAGTTGTTTTTTCTGCTGCTGCTCAGAGAAAGGAGTCCTTCCCCTGCTCCTGTGGGGTCCCTCCCATGGGAGACAGTCCTTCATGGACCTCTCTGGTGTGAGTACATCCCTCAGGTAGCAATTCTTCCCAAACTGCTGTCCCATAAGTCACTCCTCCATGGGGTGCAGTCCTTCACAAATGAGCTGTACCACCATGGGTCCCCCACAGGGGCCACAAGTCCTACCTGGGATAAACCTGCTCCAGTGTGAGCTCCTTTCTCCATGGGCTGCAGGTCCCTGGCAGGATCTCGCTCCATCTTGGCCCTCCCATGGGGTCACAGCCTCCTTCATGCATCCACCTGCTCCAGCATGGGCTTCTCCATGGGCTGCAGCTGGGTCTCTGCACCCTGATGGTCCTCCATGGTCTGCAGGGGCACAGCTGCCTCACCATGGTCTGCACCACGGGCTGCAGGGCCTCAGCTCTGGTGCCTGGAGCATCTCCTGACCCTCCTTCTGCACTGACCTTGGTGTCTACATTGTTGTTCCCATGTTTTCACTCCACTCTTCCCTGGCTGGAATTATTTCTGCGCAATACCTTCTGTTCTTAAATATGTTACCACAGAGGTGTTACTATCACTCCTAATTGGCTTGGCCTTGGCCAGTGGCAGGAGGTCCATCCTGAAAGTAGCTGGCATTGGCTCCACCAAACAGGGGAAGCTTCCCAGCAGCTTCTAACAGAAGCCACCCCTGTAGCACCCCTGCTACCAAAACCCAGCCACAGAAACCCACTACAGGAACCAAGCCATTACTATTTGTTGTGTACTTGTGGCCACTATTCATGGTTAGACTTCAGCATAATTTGACCATGACCTTTTGCCTGATGTTGTTAATTTTGTTTCCTGTAGTGTTTCATTAAAGGAAGATAATGAAGATACAAGCTTCTTGGTGTAAATAATTAAAGACTGGCTAGCAGTGCAATAGCTAAAAGTAGATTCTTCCTCACCTTTTTTTTTCTTGTTCATATTTTGATGTACCCTTAAAAAATCATGAAAGTAGAAGACTCAGTAGCCTTCAAAAACAAAGAAGACTTCATAAGACACCATACTGTGTTCCATGAGAAGCCCCAGTTGTATTGCCACTGGCAAAACTCACAAAGAGTAGTCTGTAAAAAGATTTCTTAATGAAGACAGCATGTGCAAACAGAAACACACTGTATGTCTGGAAGGCCCATGCTGTCAGCCAGGACTGAACTGCCCCAGCAGTACTGGGCATACATGAGATTCTGGTGACCAGAAGATGATAGTTTTCACTACTAGCATTTTGTATCACTATTGCTGAAACAGAGGATGTTGAGGTATTCCTTACTAAGGATTCATTTTTGCGCGCCCTTTAATGCATTCAAGTCTAGCCTGTTGTTCAAGCAAATGCATTTCATAGGAGTGCCTCATAAGCAATCTCTACACACCTTAGATGGGGAAATTACAATGATTTTAAAACTGAAGCAGTTTCATACTGCATTATCACTGTCAGATATGCTTTAAAGACCAGATCTTTCTTTGGCAATGCCAGAAATAGTGAGTGCTCTCACTTACATTCTTCACTTGGAAATAGTGAGTTTTATTGCAATCTCTGCTTCTCTTTTGAGCAGGACCAGTTTTATCTATTTTCTAGAGGGGGAAGTACTTTTTCTGTGCTATGTAAAGTGGTGAAGCAGCAGTAAAAGCAGTAAGGGATTTGGATTGAGTGGACAATTTGACTAGGATAAATCTGTTGATTCTAAGCTGTAATGTTTCAGCTCTCCAACTAGTTTGCTCACTCTAATTCGTCCTAAAGGTAAAAACCTAAACTGAAAAAATAACCCCTCAAAAAGAGAAAATGTCAAAACTGATTAATGTAGTTGCCAGTTTACAATAAATAAATAAATAAATAAATATTTAGCTATTTCAGACTTCTGGTTGCCTATAGCAATTGAATAAGTACCTTGGATACTGCAAGTGGGCTAATCTGAGCATGCTGTAAGACATAAATGAATGAAAGTTACTTGAATAGTAACCTTAAGCTGTTCTCTTCCAACATGCTAAAATTCCCATGCCAAATGTATTTGTAAATATCTCACATATGTAAGGCATTTTTTAAAATAATTGTAATCATAAAATCCTTAAATATTTACAGGAAAACAACAGATCTAGAGATCATTGACACTTCCAGTTTTCCCAGTAAGCTGGATATTGCCTTGAAATTTAACAAAACCACAAAAGGGTAGAAGTGGCTGAAGATCTGCAAACTGGGCATGAAGATATGCTTTGTTGTTTGAGAACAGTGTTAAATTACGAGATGGAGTTACTATTCAAACATGCACCATAAAGCCACTTTGAGTGTGGACTGCAGAAGCAGTTTGAGTGTCCTAACTACGCCCACTGCAGCAAGGAATAACACTGACAATCTTGGAGCCAAATTTCAGCAGTAGTTGCTGACACCTGAGGCACTCATGCTAGCTCTGGACCTTGCTTACACTATTCCTATGGCCCACTATTGGTTTTGAGGGTTTTGATTCCTCTGTGAAGGTCTTAAGCTTCTGATACAATACTGGAGAGCGTTTTGTGGCTTCTGTTTGCAGAGTCACCTTGGGTACGTGTCTGTTACATGGTCATCAGGGAAGTAAGAAACTGGACCCCATGGCACGACACATATTTCCATCCCTCTTCCTAGATACCCAGGGCAATGCCAATATTTTTAAAAATTCTCTCCAGAGACATTATGAACAGAAAGTAACACAGATATCTGAGGCTTCCTAAATATTGTGCTGGCAAAAATCTAGATGTTCCTTCCTGATCTTCACACCCAACTTAGTTAGGCAAGGCTTTTGCTGAAATCTGTGGTGGTTTTGACTGAATAAGGGCAGCAGGATTTGATCCCATGATAATAATATAAAAATCTGAATTCCAAACAAGGTGTACGTAAGGAGACTCACAGAAATCCCTTGTAAAAGGAGTACATCATCTTTTTTCATAGAGGAAGAAAAACATGGCAGAGAAACAAACTGCCAGATTCTTTCAGAATCAGTGTTTCCAGCATAACAAATATTCATTTTATACATTGGAGCACAAAGCTACGAATCATGTTGTATATGAAGTGAAAAAATCCAGAAAAAGTAATGAATATAGACGGTTTCTTGATGTAATCTCAACCTTCTAGCAGTTCTGTTCAGACTCAGTACTGGAACTAACTCCCAAGTTAGTTTCTTCTTCAATAGTCTAACTTTCTATTTAGTGTACAGGGGATTTCTGGTTAAATAACACACCTCCATTACAGGTAAATGAGTTGTGATTTCTTTATTTCTAACTGACTTCAAGTATTACAGCAGTTACAAGACACACAAAGGAAGAAAGAAGGCATTTCTGTAAATGATCAAAGCCCAGTGCTCCACTTACTCCAATGGCCTTATGCCCAGTAACTAGCAGTTGCTGTGACAAGGAAAGGCACAAGAAACCCTAATTACTAAAGAGCAAGAGAAAGATTTTCTCAGTGTTGACAGAGACAAGGCAATAAATCTATTTTGTAGGCTGCGTTGACAATCAAGTGAAACTAAACAACAAAGGCCACAATCAAGACAGGTCAAGATGAGCAACTAAAAAAAGTAAAAAATACATCAGTTCCAGTGGGAAGTGAGTGGGAATGCAGTCTGGCGTCATCAAAACAGGCTTCAAAACAACAAGGTAGGCTCCAGGAAAGGAATGGGCAGAGCAAAAGCAGGATCTTGTGAGTAAAGGCTGTGCATGCACTGCCACTTAAAGGGTGCCTGATGGTGAGGCCTGGACCTGGGCAGAGTAACCGTCAAGTAGCTGCTGCATGTGCGATAGTTTAGCTGCTGAAAGCTCATACTTTCTCACCCTCTAGAGAGGCCAGTGTGTAACCAAAAGCCTCATGAAACTTTCAATATTTTTTTTTCCCCTGTCAGCCTACTTTTTTTTTCTTTTTCTTTTTTTTTTAAGTCCCATAAGTCTCCATGGTATTTTCTATAGGAAAATAGCATGCTGAATGTTTTTTTCTTAAAAGGAAAATGTCTTGCTTGACATTTAAAGTAAGTCATCCGACCACAAGGTGTTCCTGCATCCAGACCCACAGCAACAAGCAGAGGAGAGGAGCAGAGCACTCCACTCCTGCAGTGCTACCAAAGCCAGGCTGATCCCACAGCAGCTCCCAGTAACATGCATAAAGGGCACCTCACATGCACTCAAAGATGTCAGAAGGCAGACTCTCCGAGAATTCCTAGATGGGTAAGACATATCAAGATCTCATGGTGGTGACAGAGACACCTGTTTTTAAAATCAGAGTTATAATCCAAATGCAGTTTTTAGGATGAAATCTTGCTTTTCTATTGATCACAGAATTAAAACCTTTGTTGAGCATTAGATCAGTACACCAGTGGTATTCCTGAGACTGTTGAAATCTTTGCAGGGGATAGGCTACACAGGAGGTGCCAAATCAGGATTGTAGTTTTAATCTTTAATTACCAAGGAAAGATAAATAATATAATAAATTTTTCTTCTTTGGGAATGGGTGTGCACATATAGACATTTCCCTTTCCATTAGTAAATATCACACCCTGACTTTTGGCCATCATTTGCCATATGATGTGTGAGAACATTTTGTTCCTCTTTTTAAGGATTTATTTCTATTTGGAAGAAAATGGAGGTTAGTTGTGAGCAGTGCAGCACTGCTGACAAATCTGCAAAGGCAAGTGCTTTGTTCCTCATGAACAAGTAAGATGAAGTAAGCTGTGCAGAGGGGCTGCTGCAGGCTGAGGCCCTGAATAGATGGTTGTTAAGAATATTCATTTGAGCTTTCAGAGGCATTTCTACCAGGGGCTGCCCCTGTGATTCATTACTTCTCTTCTAATCTCTCCCACCTGCAAGTCACCAATCCATCTGGCTGGTGGCAAACTGAAGCATAAATCTTGTAAGTAGCCCAGCTTTTGCATTTCTATTTTGAAGGATTTTGACACCGGTGGGCAGGTTTTCTTACTCCCCATTAATAGCTCACCTTAGGTGGTGTCCAAGGCTCTGTACAAGAACCACAGTGTCTGCTGATTTCATGAGTTTCCCTCAGCTATGTGGTAACTCTGCATTGCTCCAGAGCTGCCTCGTTTAGAAGCAATGTTTGCTTTAGAGGAGATTCACAGGTCTCCTATGTGCTTCTGCCACAGATGAACAGCACAGGACTCCTGCAGACACCCATCCCATTCCACCCAGAAACTACCGGGGGAAAATGGGTTCTTCAGTAGTTCATGTTTGACCGTTTCCAAAACCACAGCTTTTGCATGTCAGGACATTCTGCAGATCAGGGACTGGGTGATTCAGCCACGTCAGCTGGTGAGCAGAAACATTTTCTGGTCTGCAGGCAAACTTACCTCACCTAAAGGGAGCCCATCTGTATATACTGAACATCCTGAAACAACATTTATCAAACAAATGTGTTCCAGTAGCATAGAAGACACTGCTTCATTGCAAATCAGAGGCAGAAGCCCGGTAGAACATAGATAGATTCTTCTGGTGAAGAATCTCAGCATTTCAGTTTGTGAAATGTTACACAACAAAGTAATAATCATGGCCTTTCTTGAAGGACAGTTAGGTAACATTCATTAAAGCCTAGTTGAAGGAACCTGTCAGAGATCAAAGACTTCATCTGCAGCTCTCAATGATTCTTGCAAAAGTGACTTTCAAGGCCTCTGAATATTTTTAAATATCACATTTACTACTTTTCCTCACAGCAAAGGAAGAAAATGTACGCGAGAGTACACATTACTCTTTCACTACATCTCCTATTCAGTGATCCTAAGTTAAAAATGCAAATGTTCATACCAAAAAATATATGAAGCTATGTACACAGATTTAACAAGCAGAAAAAATTATAAACAACCATACTAAAGTATGCAGCCAACACCTGACACCACAACAAGGATTTCCTGTAAAATTCAAAGGCCTGTGAGATTGCACACCTCAGCCCTTTTCTAAGGAACCTAATGTCATTAGATACTGACTTCACTGATCTTCTTCCCATGGCTTTCATCTACTCCTGCCTGAGTAGTAGCAAAAGAACTTATTTTTTCTCCCAAAATAGCTCATTTTCTGCTGAAATTTAAAAGACTGCATGTGGTATGGGATTGATAATGCCCATTCAGCAGTGAATCCATTTCCACTGCTGGCAGTGCTGTGGGAATACTTCATAGAGAGGACAAATGTAACTTATCGATAGGGATATCCACTTTTCATAAGAAAGAGGTGTGAGCATATGTGAGAAAGAGTTTTGCAAGCCAGTTCAGCTCTTCCTGTGTCCCATAGCCAAGGCAGTACCAAGGGGTGTGCAGGGCAAGAGGCACCCATCCAACTGCCAGTTCTCACTTCTCTTTCTAACCAGTCAGACAATGAAGACAAAAAGATCTGGTTAACATTTTCTGTCTTTCTCATATTCTGGGGGACAGAGAATCAACAGTAAAAGGACAGCCTCTTCCCAGCTTGCCAAGGACTGTGGGTGCAGGAGCTATTCCAGGTTATCATTTGTCAGCCCCTTCCGCCTGCTAACAGTAGGATTTGTAAATGAAACCTTTGGACAAGGAACCCAGAAGGACAGAAAAAAAAGAGATTTTTTTAAAATTAAATTAAATGGTCTTTTTATGACATGGCACCAAACACAGACATCACAAGGGGACCCAATAGTTAGCAGTCTAATGAGCTCCTTGATATTTATTTGGACTGGTTAGGTTGTCAGGGACAAGAGTGTCCTGATAGCTCCCTCAGTGCCAGTCGCACTGGGGAAGGGAACAGAGCAGAAAAAATGAATGGGATTAAGAGAGAACATAACCAGGGGCTTAGAAAAAAACCTTTAACAACATGGTCATTATATTAGAAATCCAGAAGCTGCTTAAGGCAGCACTTGAACAACTCATCATAGAAAAAAAAAGTAACATAAAAGAAAGATAAAGCATTTGAATAACACAAGTCTTTTCTTTCCATTCCTGGAATAGACAAAATAATGTCTATAGTGGTTTTCCTGCTAGCTGGAGTCATATCCTTTCCTTGTAATATGCATAGTTTATTGCTGTTCATTTTTTCCCAGAAACTATAACAGATCAACATCCCATTATTCTAGGTGCAGTAAAAACACAAAGAAAAGAAATATTGTTGCCCCACAGTGTTAATAATCTAAAGAAATAAGGTAAAGGGTGAGAGAAAAGAATTATGATTTGTAAGAGAGAAAAGAGGGAGAGGCATAGGTCTAGCTGCAGTTGTGACTGCAGGCAGTAAGTTGTGCACACTACTCTGCCTGGTTCTACCTGGAGAGAAAGAGAGCAGTAAATCCATACCTTTGATTAGCCCATCTTAACAGATACAAAATGCTGAAAGAAAACAAAGCTTTCCTGAAATCACATGTGCAAGACTGGAGTTTATCTGCCACAGAAATACTGAAGGTAAAATGAAATTCCTTGGAGCACACTGCACCAGTTTGGAAAAAAAAAAAACACACGCACACACACAAATGGGATCTGAGAGTTAATCTGGAAATTATTTTTTCTCAGTAGATTTTTTTTCCACTGGAAGACACTTAGCAGGTTTTTTAAAATCTGTTTCAGCTACACAGAAAATATTTAACAAACCAGAGGACTAATTTTTCATCTCCTGCCCTGGGGACACTTACCTCAAAAAACCCCAAAATTCACAACCAATTTATCTTCACAGGTGCCTGACAACATAACGTGCCTTAGCACTTTGATGACTGCCGGGTCTTCCAGCAATGTGAGAACTATTGAAGGGAAGAATGTTGTTTGCCAGAAATAACACTCCAAGTAATATGTTTGTTCATTTTTCTCTCGGGTAATGCCAGTACTTCCTCCTAGGTTCTATCATTCACAGAATAGCTTGAGAGGAGCCTGCATTGCAGAAATCACAGCCACTACCCTCCAACAATACTGGTCAAAAAGCCTTAACTGTTCTGTTGCTCCTATCTCCCAGAACCTAACACAGTAGCACCACAAAGCCAAAACCACCACAGGCACTGCCATCATTGCACTGCAACACTTAGTACTTGTCTCTCTAAAGCCATCCCTACAGGACATTTCATTATCAGTACTGCTTTAAAGTAGTGGAGGGAAAATCATATGGCACGTGTTCTTCAGGGCCTTCAGGATTTTCTCAGAATAAAATTAAGTTTAAATATTCCTGTTCCTCTTGCATGCAAATACTCCTGTTAGGGTAAAGCAGTAGTTTGCATTGCAGCATGCAATATGTGCCTGTATATAGGGTGAACAAGAGCAGGAAGACTCTAAAGACAGTAGGAAGACTTTAAAGACAGAGAATAATATAGAACAATAAAAGCTCTTGCGGAAAGTAGGAACGGAAATCCTGGATGAGAAGTTCCAATAGTGAAAACAGGACAAAGAAATGGCCCCATCATATTTAAGATGCCAAACATCCATTCAGTGTTAGCAGAATTCAGCCTCAGGCTGCACGCTAGGAATAAGGACAAAGAAAGTTATGTTATAGATAATTTCCTGTATATATCCCATATACATTCTTTTTTTCCAGAGTTTTTCAGTAGTTTCTTCCCACCTAACTTTAGACATTTGCTTAAATATTCTCTGTTGAAAATATATTTGGTCCTAGTTTCTTTCATAGTCAAAGGAAGACATTGGCTTGCACAGAGTAGGGTTACGCTCTGCAGATACCTATGAGGTTTATCAGGGAAACCTGAGCTGGCTATGGCTGCATATCATAGACAAATGGAGACAGTGAGCAGAGCATGACATGCCTGGTAACCCTCACTATCCCGATAAGAAGACCTGTTTGTTGGCTTTCCACCCCTGTATCAATATGTCAGGGCACAGGGAAAGAGAGGGTACTGCACGCCTAGGTCTCCTGAACAAACAGGGATGCAGCCTGGTTGTTCCCTGACCCACAGACACATCCTACACACCTAACCTGAATCTAGGGTAAGCACCAAAGCTTAGGAAGTCAAAACTGAGCCTTTACATCTAACCTGTATTTAGAGTGGCACTGCACCACTCCTACTGACACCTATTTCGCCTGCCTTAGGTAAGGATCTGTACCTACACCCACGTAAAAAGGCAAGGACTGAAAGGATTATATGCGTACATAGTGAAAAAACCCACAGTAAAATATGTAAATAAAGAACATTGGCTTTCAAAATCTATTTTAAAACTTATGTGGGTTTTCTCTGATCTTCTCTCCCCCTCACCTTTTTCCCCTGTTAGCACAATTGA